CAAGACCCCTCATCGATAACGCAGATTGTGTGGAAAAGCAACTGAACAAAGGATTTGCCGCTCACAACAAACTAGCACCTAGTCCGGCTCATCCTATTTGGCCGTGTAGTATACAACCAGCTCCGGATAGATTTGGGCATTCTCAAACACAATCACCTCATGGAACTGCCCAGAGGGTGTCGCGACAACCGAGTCATACCTGCAAAAGTAAAATGGCCGGCGCAACATAACAGTCAGATCAGGAGGCGGACAGAGACAACATGCAACAGATGGTCGATGTTGTCCGACGCACCGCTCGTTGTTGGGCGCATTGGGCAGGAGCGGAGGTGCCAGCGCCCCAGAAGGAGGCGATGGATGGACATGGGCATGGCCCAGGAGTGCTCGCGTGATGACGAGCATTCGTTCGCCGTTGGGTCCGGCACCGGCGTACTGATGACTCTGAGATCAAGTGTAAGCACATTGCGTCAGCACCACAGCACTTGGGTAAACAGGCGAGATTGACAGCCAGCGCGGCGATACCTTGCCGGGATGGTCCGCCAAGTAAACACCGAGACCAAAGCGGTGGCCGGCACTGTTGCCGGCAAAGCGATAGTCAAGGCCCAGGCGCACAATCTTGTCGCGCAACATTGTGTCAGGGGCGATGCCGTGGAGCAACAGGCGCTCTTGACAGGATGTATCGCGAAGCAGCGCTGGAGAGCCCGAAGGCGCATCTGATGTGGCCGTTTGAATCTGGGTGCACTGCTCCTGACTTTTGATGCGATGCAACATTTCGCGTCGCTTGACGCTGTAGCGCTCCCACAGCACGGGGTTGTGCACGCGCTCCACTCGTTGCACTGCAATATTCGCTGGTTCCCGTCCATCGGTGTTCAGCTGCTTCAGTAGCTCACCCACCTAGCCACCCAATAGGTTCAAATCAGACGATTCGCGGAAGAGAGAGAGAGAAAAAAAAAAAAAATGAAGCAATCACAAGCGACGCACCTCTGACATGAGCTCGGGCGCGTCGCGCAAGACATCAATGGCTGGCCCGACTTGGGCCAAGGCAGGCTGCTGCGCGATGTTCCGGGCGCTGAAAAGGCTTGGCCGTTGCTTCGGATCTGTTGCAAGCAAAGCCCGCGTTTCCTTGTACAAATCACTCGACGAATCGCACATCTGCATCAGAGAAACCAACGTGAGTTTCCATCACATTAGAGGCGCGGTGCCCAGTTGTCGTTTCAGAGAATCACAATACGCTTACCTCAGTCGCCAAGTGCGAAAACCGAAATTTGCATTCTCTGCTCCGC